AAATACTGCGTCCTTTAAACATATATCAAATTAAAGCTTATTTTATGTACTACTAAATGAAAAAAAAAAATTTGTCCTGACACCTTATCTTCTATGTGCAAATGGCAGTCGAAATTATAAAAAAATGTAATATTTTTCACCTTTTCTAACGATGTTTTTTGTACTTAAAACTGCCATAACTTTTTCAAATATTAACTAATCAAAGTAATATTTCTTTATATTGAAACCTTAGGTAATTTTCTTTCATTTGATATCATTTTTTTTGAAAATCTAACATTTATTCTGCTCACTGAGGGAATTTAAAATAGTAATTTTTTTACAAAAAATAACTTTTTCAACTTGATTTTTGAAAATGTTCCGGAAATACTGCGTCCTTTAAACATATATAAAATTAAAGCTTATTTTATGTACTACAAAATGAAAAAAAAAAATTTGTCCCGACGATCTATCTTCTATACGCAAATGGCTACCATATTGAAAAATATACTATTTTTGTATGATAATTATGGGTTTTGTATTTTATTTTAATAGAAGTTGATGTTGCTTTTGCAATTATCCATCAATTTTTTAAAATTAAACACTATCTACAGATTTGCATCGAAGCGTTTCTTATGATAGTGATTTTAATCACGTCAGATTAAATCTATACTGGACCCTACTATGCAATGTCTCCACTATGCCGCGACCCCACTGTGCTACCGTTTTTTAATCTGAAAATTACTAATTTGGATATAATTAAAGAAATAAAAGATAATGTTGCTTTTGTAATTATCCACCTATTTCATAGAATTAAATATTGTCTACACATTTGCATCGAAGCGTTTCTTATTATAGTAATTTTAATCACTTTCTGATATCTTTATATTTGACCCAACTATGCCACGTCACCACAATGCCGCGACTCCACTGTGCTGGGTTATTTAATAACTTTTTCCAAAGTTTAAAAATAGNCTTTCATTTAATAACTTTTTCCAAAGTTTAAAAATAGCAATTTTCAGAATTTTCCTTACACAAAATTTCGAACATAACAATAGAATAAGTACTTATTGAGTTAAAAGCAATTTAATATACNAAGTACTTATTGAGTTAAAAGCAATTTAATATACAGGGTGGCCCACCACTCACTGACAACTTAAATAACTTTTGATCCAGTTAATATTTTTAGTTGATTTTTTTTTTAAATAATAGTTATACGTTAGGTCTATAGCTATATCTCAATAATTAATTTTTTTACATTTTATTAAAAATATTAATTATTTTTAAATTTTAAATAAAATGTAAAAAAAAAATCTAAGATAGCTATTTTGTAGAGTAGAATTTAAGAAAAATTTTAGTAAAAAAATATCTTATTAATATTCAGTAGTAAATATTCTGTAGCGTTTTGAAGTTTGTGAAAATTTGAATTTTCATGTACTATTTTACGGTATTAAACATTGAAATACGTATTGAGAAAAGGACAGAAGAAAACGCTATCTTTTCAATATACTTTTGAATGAGAGTGATAAGTAATAATTGCCTTATCTAATTTCTTATCATGGTATTTATGCCAAGTTTGTAATGTATACACACTATCATCATATGTATACACAGTAATCATGAAAAGATAGCGTTTTCTTCTGTCCTTTTCTCAATACGTATTTCAATGTTTATAACCGTAAAATAGTACATGAAAATTCAAATTTTCACAAACTTCAAAACGCTACAGAATATTTACTACTGAATATTAATAAGATATTTTTTTACTAAAATTTTTCTTAAATTCTACTCTACAAAATAGCTATCTTAGATTTTTTTTTTACATTTTATTTAAAATTTAAAAATAATTAATATTTTTAATAAAATGTAAAAAAATTAATTATTGAGATATAGCTATAGACCTAACGTATAACTATTATTTAAAAAAAAAATCAACTAAAAATATTAACTGGATCAAAAGTTATTTAAGTTGTCAGTGAGTGGTGGGCCACCCTGTATATTCACTCTTTGTATTAAATTACATAAATATATAAATAGTTATCCTAAATTTAATATCGATTTAATGTACAGAAAAATTTGATGTCGATTATCGAAAAAAAAATATTAGCCTTTTTTACTTATAAAATTGCATAATTTTTTCTCATAATATTTTGAGTATAATATTTTATTTTTGATGAAAAGATGAGAAGGCATATTACCGTGATGTGTTTTATTTTGTATAAGATGTTAACTAAAATCATGCAAATTTCTTAATTATTATTAATACTATTTAATAATATACCTGTTCAATGCCAACATTAAAAAAATCATCAGTAAATTGTACCTGTAATTATATATTTATTTAAAACAATAAATATTTGCACAAAGGGCTTATATTTAATTTTTTTTTATAAAAGCAATGTATGTTTATATCCCAAATATATAAAAACAATGTCATAAATTAAAAAAAAGAAATCTCCATTAAATAATAATTATGTTATTAATTTTTATAAATTCATATAAACGCATATCTTTTATAAAATTAAAACTTTTTAAATTATGTTATTTTATTTGGTTTTGCAAATAATCAACATAAAATTAATTAATCATATTTTATGACAATCAAACAAAATTTAATTGAAAATATTTTAAATAAAAATTGTTTAAAATATGTTGTATGTTCATATCACAAAAGCAATAAGTAATAATAATTTTATAATTACAAGTTCTTGGGTTAATGATATATCTTCCTTCTTTTGTTTGGAATCCTAGAATTACATTTGTACGATTGATAAATAAATAATTTTAAAGTGTAACCAAAGATAAATTGATTAATAATTTCAATTTTTTACATAACCTTTTATATGATATTATAAACGATAATGTTAATTAAAGAATATAAGTATAACGTTACAAATTCATAGGTAGACCGTTTATAATTTTTTTGTCTATTTATTTATTTTATCGCGAAGAGTATGTACAAATAAACATTTTTCTGACACAGCTGTGTCAAAAACTCATTAAGTTTTGCCGCTGACCGCTAGACAAGGCGACAAAAGATAATAAATATATTTAAAATTGAGTTATTTATAGGTATTGATCCCTTCCAAAAAGACTAATAGTTATGGATATGAAATTTCCGTTAGACAATTGACCGCACTAGAGTGCACATGTATGTTATCTTATTGTCACTTTTTAATTCAATGATGTAGAAGAACCACTAACAGCGAAAGGCCAGGTCATTTTGGCGAAGCATCAACACCATCGGATGGATCTCTTCAGAGAGTACATGTTGCTGCGAGTTATATATGGTCGCGTTCAATTTCCAACCCAAACGAATATGTTACACATAGTAGTGGGGAAGCCGATTTTGGAGGTTATGGCCTTCAAGGTAATCATTTATAGTATTTTTGAAGAATTAAGTAGATTTAATTNCAAACGAATATGTTACACATAGTAGTGGGGAAGCCGATTTTGGAGGTTATGGCCTTCAAGGTAATCATTTATAGTATTTTTGAAGAATTAAGTAGATTTAATTCTAAACAGGTCGTAGATAAATTTTCAACCATATTCTATATATTTAGCTTATTGAAACCAATATAACTTATATTGGATATTATAAAAATGAATGACACGTGTTTTATTAAAAGTTAAAAGTATATATTTACTGGTGTTCTGTAATTTTGATGCAATGGTATATCAGGTACGTAGAGCTGACCGTTATTCTAAAAAAATGTTTTGTAAATAAACGTTTATAATTATGGTAGTAGTACAATGAGGTATTAATACATTTTCAAATAAATAAAATTAAAATTATAGGGGACAGATTTATTATATAACTTGTAAAAGCACACCAAATAAAACATATAATGATGCTTATTTAATACCCTGTTAAACTATCTTTAAATTATATTAAATTATAAATATAATTGTCTAAATATTTTTGAAAAGATTAAATAATTAACTCTTAAGTTGAACCACCCTTAATTGATACAAAGCATAAAAAAAAATGATGATCTATTTTATTCTAAGGTTTCATGTACTATACATGGACGTCATTTTATCGGTTCAGTTCAAGAGACATGTTGTCCTATTGCGTAACACTTAAAAATTAGACTGAATGATATTAATATTATTAGATAACATACCTGTACCATGCGTTCATCAATATATTCATTATTAACATGTTCCTGTAAAAGTATATTTATTTAACAAAAACACAAGGTTATATTTGAAGTAGTAAGTGAATGTAGTTCTAAACAGGTCGTAGATAAATTTTCAACCATATTCTATATATTTAGCTTATTGAAAACAATATAACTTATATTGGATATTATAAAAATTAATGATACGTGTTTTATTAAAAGTTAAAAGTATATATTTACTGGTGTTCTGTAATTTTGATGCAATGGTATATCAGGTACGTAGAGCTGACCGTTATTCTAAAAAAATGTTTTGTAAATAAACGTTTATAATTATGGTAGTAGTACAATGAGGTATTAATACATTTTCAAATAAATAAAATTAAAATTATAGGGGACAGATTTATTATATAACTTGTAAAAGCACACCAAATAAAACATATAAAGATGCTTATTTAATACCCTGTAAAGCTATCTTTAAATTATATTAAATTATAAATATAATTGTCTAAACATTTTTGAAAAGATTATATAATTAACTCTTAAGTTGAACCACCCTTAATTGATACAAAGCATAAAAAAAAATGTTGATCTATTTTATTCTAAGGTTTCATGTACTATACATGGACGTCATTTTATCGGTTCAGTTCAAGAGACATGTTGTCCTAT